AATAAAGAAAGTTAACAAACATGAAGATTTTGCTGGAGAATGTGGTGATCTTTGGGCACCTGCCCTAAAGAACTCACCAACTAAGTTGGCAGTTTTGGACCACTCTCTCATTTTGCATCAAACACTTGTGGGATGGGATTAGTTACCATTCGTGGTTTGGGAGGTAATTGACAGCTTTGCTGTTTTCCTCATGTGTATCTCCTTTTCATCATTCCAATCTCCTAGACTGAAGTGTCTTGGAGTAAATTCGTGGTTACTKCTGTGTTCTGTCATGCTTCAGCCTTCCTTGTCACTGGAGATTTCAATCAGTAAGGCTGGTGGAGCTGTGTAAACAGACTTAAAAACAATTCTGTTTTTATCACAATCCTTCAGGTTTTGAGCAGGCCTGTTTTCAAAAGGTTGAGCAAACACAGAAGTCCAAGAAGGGTTTAAGAACCACTGACTTTTTTGAAAGAGCATTGCTTCACTCATCCCTAATCCTATTAAATACAAGGTCTAGGAAAATGAGATTCTTCCACGGCTTAGAGTAGAGGAAGCAGACTGTGGATTATAGAACACTGTTATTTCACTCTTTTTTGGCTGGTGGGCAGTGGAGATTGCTTTCTGTTGTCACTAAAGGAGGGAAAAAGATACTTCAGTTATGTCCAATCAAGAAATTATGAGGTACTGGAATAATAATATAATTTAAATATTCTATTTGTTATTTTCCCAAATAGAAGCAACTTTTTTTTCAGAAGACTCTTGAAAAAGTTGTGGGGTTTTCTTCTGTAAAATTACATGCTTTATATTGAATATATCATTGTGCTGCCATTACTGCAGTCCTAGGTTTTTTTGTTTTGATTTCTTTCCTGTTTAAGAGTAATTTGGCATAGTTCCTTAACAGTTGCTTTAAGTATAAAATCCTTCTGGATTCTGATGCTGGAGAATATGGAGGCCATCAAAGGCTGGACCACAATACAGAGTATTTCTCTGAAGAATATCCTCACAATTATCGACCTAATTCAATTATGGTAAGCTGTATAAKGTTGGTTTGTTTGTTTGTGGGTTTTTCTGTTTGTTTTTAGCTCAGCTTTAATCTATATGAATTTTGCAATTCTTTGGACAAATACCGAATCTATTCTAGTATTTGAGGGAGGGGGTATTTWAAATTTATTTTCTGAAATTAACCTTTGTCTAAATACAGTAGAGACAAACTGTATTAGTAGAGACATTAACCAAAAATGTTAAATAATTTCTCTCTTTTGGTATTAGTTTTATATTTCCATGAACTTTTGCAGTGTCTGGCACACAATGTTCCTTGCCAACATGCATGAAAACCTGCTAATATGCTTTTCCATCCTTAATATTATAATTTGCTTTATTTTCATGTCTGAGGAACTCCATCCTCATGCTTGCTTTGTTTAAAAYTCTGTAGAAACTGAATCTTGCTTTGTTGTCTTCATATGCTTGACTCTGCAAACATGAACTAGAGCAAATCATACCTTTGCCAACTGGCTTCCTCCTCAGTTTACAGAAAAAACTTTGCAAAATGAAACAATTTCTCTGTTCACATCAAGAATTTCAAGGATTTCCAGTCCTAAAGTGATATAAATAGTGGGTAAAGACTTTCCCACAAATCACTTAAGATGAACTGGAAGACATATCCTTGTATACAATTTCTGTTAGCTGAGATCATTGCTAATTAAACTCTACCCTTCTTAATTACTCTTGGAATCAGAATCATCACGATTAACAATTTTTAAATGTTACTTTGCCCATTTTTTATGCATGTACATGTATATATATGTGCACATATTTCCCATTTTCTATATATGCATTCACACGTGTATATGCTCACAAGCACAAGAAAATAAGATTTAAAAAGGTTGGGCATTAAGGCAAAAGTTCACTGAAAAAATTCTGAGAACATTTATGTTGCTTAGATTTTTATATCTAGAACATTTATGTGGGTGAAGGGTGTGTCTCTCTATGCACAGGGATATTGATACATGTGAACACCTGCAAATAAATTACATTTATAATTTTAAGATCCTGCAAAAATGGAGCATCTGCACTGATTCRTGTGGGCCACTCCTCTTCCCTGGCAGAACATGAATTTCTAATGTCACATCTTAACATTTCTCATGAGATCTAAACTCATGAGAATTATTGTCACTTACAATCTCTCTTTCATTGTATCCAGAGTATTGGCATTTCTTTCATTTGCCTGATTTGAAATAGTTTCATTGCATAAAATAATTTTTGTGCTTTCGTTGTACTTGATGTAAAGGATTTTAGAAAAGTTTTTTTTGAGGTTTTTTTTTAAGTATCTACATGTGTCAATGCCCTCATAGTGTGGTAAGTATTTGTGCTAATTTGCACACAAAGAAATGAAAGGTCTAATATTTCATTCCTGAAGTTATATAGCAAATTAACGCTTCYAGAGGTCTTGCTTTGTGTGCCCAATTCAAATACCTTGCCTGGGTGATTGGAGAGCATCTTAATTACCTATCACTAACTTAACTTTTGCAAGCCWATTAACTGTAATTTGGAATGTATATTTCACATTTAGTTTGTGAGATGGTGAGTGTAAGCCATCCAAGCCAGAAAAAAGAGGTGACAGGATGTGAAGCTGAGGTTTGCAAGGAGCATGTGGAAGATAAAGGCATGTGGCAAACACAGCAGCAAATGCACTTTTGCAGCATCAGCTGTGGCATGGCAATGGCACCTCTGACCTCCAGGTCAGACAAAAACCCAGCACCGTGGGTCAGGTAAACTTTCTCTTATGTCCTCCAGCCACCAAATTCACAGAGCACCTCCAGCCAGCCCCCCAGAGGATGCCACATGCACCAAATAAAGGTAAAATACCAGTGAAACGACACTGAGTAAAARTAATCGAGGAAAGAAATCTAGAAAACCTAAATTCAAGCAAGTAGATCTTCACATGAGAAAGAACAAAAGTTACAGTAAATGCCTCCAGCTGCTACTTTGCAGTTAAACAGAGATGTTTTATTTTAAATAGCAATTTATATCCAAGTTATTGGGTACTTTGTCCTGCTTAGGAGTTTCTTTAGTCTTAATTGCAGTTTCTAAAATCCAACTCAAAACTCTTCCCATCAAATTTCTTTTCAAATAACATATGTTGCCATCTCAGTAAATCATAAAAGTTCTTTTCCTTTTCTTTAATAATTATTCCTGTTGTTTAATAATTATTTATAACGCATGAGACTTAAGTTTGTTGTTTAAAAAATTAGTTCCTTCAAAGGAACTTCAAAGAAGTAATTTTTTAATGACAGATGCATCTCCCTTAAGGTGTGTGAGTAAACACTGTCAGCAAAAYGTTCCCAGAGGGTCATGACAAAATGAAATCACATTCAATTATTCTGCTTCTCAAGTCAAGCTTAAATAGCATACAAATACATTACAAAAATAGAACGTTAAATGTGATATGATTCATTCTAAAAAAAATCACTTCATAAAATAATTATTCRGGGTGACATATCAAAATGAGAAGATGGGAGATATGAAATTCCTGGAGCAAGGAATCCTGGAAGAAGAGGAAGCTTTGGAAGCACTGCTGAGCATTTCACTCTACAATTTTCAGGCTTGTTTAGTAAAGCTATTTGAGGGCCACATTTAAAAATCATCAGACACACCTTGAAAACYCCATAGAAAATGCACAGAAATGTCYTTTGTAATATGACTTATTTAAATAATTGCACTAATTTTTTCTATTTCACTGCTTTTTCTATAATGGATTGTTAACAAATATATGAAATTTACGTAACATTCCATGTAATCAAACTTTTTAATAACAAACTGTGAACCATTTTTTTCCCTGTAAAAATATTCTCTTTTTACCACACTGTCATTTCTGTTTACAGCTCCACTGTGGTATTCTCATAGTAGTCTTTTTAGGAGTATGTTTTACAAAAATGTGTGCTTTTTGAATGCTTCTGTAAACCTTTAGTCTTGCTCATGTCTCATCATCTCTTTCCAAGATGTAAATTAAATGCTGCACACACATTTCAACCCCGGTAAGATCTTTGTGCCCCTTTAGGGATTAATTCATTTGTTGGTACCTAACTTGGCTTTTGTAGTTGGATGTGAAACTTAGATTTGGGGCAGGGGGAAGAAAAAGTATAATTTTTTAATAACATGTCAGTCACAATATTTTGTTGGTCTTTCCTAAAATATCCAACTTGATTGAATTTTGCTGTAGGAAAGAACTAGCTATCAATATGTGTTCCTAGTACATTTTGTTGGATTTATTTTAAAATGGTGGGGTTTATACTYTCCTACTTCGTCCACCAACAGGACTGAGTAATAAGAAGGCTAAGTGAGATATTGCAGAGGATGTTGTGTTATTAGAAAAATAGTATATGATTTATTGTGAAATATAATTGCTTCACATATTTCAACTGTTATAGATTTACTTTTTCTGTAGATCATGCCAATTAGTTAAGAAAAATAAATAGATTTCAGAGTATTCCTTTTCTCCTGTCCCCAATACTGTCTTTATTCTGATTCTCTATTTTTGACATTCAGTGATACAATCTTTTCGCATTAAATAAAAGTGAAATTGTATAGTTTATTTTAAGAATATCCTTATTACRGGCTTGGATTTTTAACCTTGACCTTAATGTATACTATTCAATGTCAAAGTGCAGCTTCCTGCTTCCTTGAGTCTATGGACAAATTAAAATACTCCTGTAGACTGAAATGATCTAAAAGCTTTTAGTGACCTTAGCTTTGAAAATACTCATTTAAATAATTTTCATGATAAGGATTTATAAATCGAATTTTAAGGGATTGATGTAATCTTTAACTGTTTCGTCCCCTGACATGCACAGATACACAGATTAAATGAAAGAATGTTTGTAGCTAGAAACTTAAGTGAATCAGCAAGAATTTAATACCAGAAAAACTTTTTTCATTTTTACCTCTTGATGCTTAAGACYTCTAAATTTGTTTGTTCATCTTCATTGATGGATTTACTTCATAAAACCACCAGCAAATGAAATGATCCCAAAGTTACTCTGTTAGTAATTTTGTTTCATCTTATCTTCCTTTTCAGTCTACTCATTTTTCAAGGATTTTTGCTGTCCTTTTCAAAGTACTTTTTTTTCAACCTGAAAAATAATGCAGAAGATAATAGAGGAGAAATTTTAAGACACACCCATATGGATTTSTTTTGCCTAAATGAAGCAAGAGAGTCTAAGAAATTATTTTCTGCATATTCATGCTGAATAGCTTTACATTGAAAAACAAATTGGAAGGCAGAACTTCCCATTATTTAAGCACACCTTCATTGTCATGTGCAATATCTAACAAAATGAAAACCAAAATGTGTGATGTTTCATATAATAAATTATAGTCAGGAAGGAAGAGCTATCATCTATTTTATCCTTTGATGGTTAATTATATTCTCAGAGTAGTGCCCATGTCTGACAATTAGTAGTGATACAGGGACAGGATTGTCTAAAGCCCTCATTTTAATTAAAAGTTTGGGATAATGTTGGCACAGACTCTTGTGACATAGCCTTCTGCATCTACCAGCTGCAATATGTGCTACTGAGTATTATTCTGCAGTGCCTGATCTAGCTCTGAGTTCTAGTAATTCTCCCATCTGTCACAAAATGACCTTGAAATTATTTTTAGGGCTTGGTGTTTTCCAATCCTGAAAGTCAGATGAAGAGTAGTTCATTGCAATTCCAGCCAATTTCAATTGTGCTTGCACCTGGTACTGAATTAGTCTGACAGATCTGAAAGTAGCAGTTGTCATTTGCAGAACCTCTCGCTTGTGGGTTTTTAGGTACATTTGGAGATTTGCTGTGTATTTTAGTTCTCTCCTAAAATATGTAAGGTGACATTTCTGCTTATAGCTGCTGCTGTTCACAGGTGCTTCCTACATGTGGTATTCCTGGATTCCTCTTGGCTCTTTGAAGAGGAAGTCTTTTTTAAATTTGTGGATATTCACAGAAAAAAAAAAAATATATATATATATATATAT